TCCAGTATCCAACCAATCACAGTTCCATTCATACAGGACAGGAAAATAGCTGCAGGGAAAACTATTCTTTAAAAAAGATTAGATGAATGTTATACTGAAGAAGTTGAGCCTCCAAATTTGGCATACCACACAAATTGAATGAAAAAAGTCCCAAATCAAAAGCATATTTTTGTGAAATTGCTGAACACCAGGATAGAGACGAGATTCTAAAAGAAGGAAATCAAGTAACATTCAAAGTATTAGGAGTGAGAATGATATATTCTTCTCAAAAGCAACTTTGAGAGCTAGAAAACAATAGAGCAGTCCTTCAAAATTCTGAGTGAGAATGTTTAAACCTGGAATTGTTAGGCGAGCTAACAACTGAGCATGAGAACAGAATAAAGATTTTTTTTTTCAGTCATGCAAGGCCTCAAAACCAATGAACTACCCCGGTGTTAAAAAATGAACACCCTTTCTCCTGAAGCCAATGGCAGAGGTGCTCTTGCAAAATGAGGGAATGAAGGAGGAACAAGAAAGGCATGGGATGAAGGAGACAGGAGATCAAGCCCAGGAAAGGAGAGAGGGTCCCTGAGTGACAGGGAGGAGAAGCTTCTCCTGAAGCCAATGGCAGAGGCGCTCTTGCAAAATGAGGGAATGAAGGAGGAACAAGAAAGGCATGGGATGCAGGAGACAGGAGATCAAGCCCAGGAAAGGAGAGAGGGTCCCTGAGTGACAGGGAGGAGAAGCACAGGAGGACAAGCCCAAGCAGCAGGATCAGGCTACAGGAGGGAGTCTCCAGGACAGGGTCTTAAAAAAGGGGTGACAGTTATCACCCTTTTTCAAATTATTTTGAGAGGCATTTTACAGAGTTGTGTAGGGTATGAGAAGACTTAGATGTTTCAAAGAAATCCTAACTCTAGGAATTGAAAAAATTTACATAAGAAAGGAAACAATCATTGTGTACTAGTTGGCTTAGCAGGGAATGATGTTTACAGGGTGATAATCAGGAAAGCTCTGTCTATGGGTTACATTGGAAGTGTGGGGGAAGGTGCAGGTCAACATAAACTCTCACCTGCCCTAGACACTGTCAGCATTTAAGGGCAGACTCAGGCAAAAATCGCTGGGAGTTTCTCCTCCCTAACCCCTGCCCTGTACCAGCTAGGAGATCTTGGGCATAAAACTTAGCTGCTCTGTGACTCAGTTTTCTCATCTGTTAAGTGGGGGTAATAATAGCTCCTACCTAACAGGATTGTTATGGGAATTAAATAAGTTAAACAGTTGTAAAGCTCTTAGGGCAATGCATCGTACATGGAAAAAACTATAAAAGTACTTGGTGAAAAACCTAGTGCTAATAATACGTGCATACTCCATACAAATATGATGGAAGCCTAGCAATTTAGGTTAAAAAAACAAAACAAAACAGAAAGCACTTGCCTCTGGGAATCAGGAAAGGGGAAGGATGAGGAACTACTGGTTTTGGGTTTTAAGTGTCAGTACGATTTAAATTTTTTAAAAATATTGCAGGTAATACTTTAAGTCAAATAAAATTAACTTAGAAAAACCAACTCCAAATTTTAAAACAAAGGACACACACGAGCTTTGACAGGGACTATTTTATACTCCCAGACACTTTATAAACATTTCCATTTGCTATGCAAATGAAGTTATAGGTATTTCTAAATGTAACAGTGGACCCAAGTCAATTTTTAAGAATAAATTTGTCAACACAAGAGCCTATTGTTCAGTTATTTTTGCAATAAAAACATAACTAATTAAAAAACGAATTTTTATTGCTCTGAGAGAAGCGTCCTACAGGTATTAGCTGGTGATCATAGATTTGTGGGGGAAACACACATGAAAAGTGAAGCAGTTTGAACCATAACTCTTCCCTCCTCCTGCCCTCTGATAAAGATTTTAATAAGTAATGAAATGGGAATTACAAAGTGGGGAAGATATAAAGGCCTTGGATCAAGAAAATGCATAGACCTGCTTTCCCAGAGATAACCTTCCTTTTCTAAACTAATGAGAAGGTCAGCAGGGACCAAACACCCATTGCTGCTCTTGGCCACATAAGTATATCAAATTGCTTCCAAAAGAAGTCAAATCACAGCTATGCACTTCACAAGCAAGCTACCACGGGATAAGAAAAAAATAATTCCAAGTAATGGATACTCCACTAGACCCTCAATGTGAGTTGTCAAATCCTCTGCCAAATTCTAGTTTCCAAGACGCACACTGCCTTATTATCTATATGAGATTAGTCTGTCCACCAACCCAATATGAATGCAGGTACTTACAGGATAACATTTAGAATATCATCATGTAACAATTTGAGTACTTCTAAGATGCTCCTTTTAATATAATAAAAAAGGTTTGGTTTTGTTTTATTCTCTCTTTGCTCTCATTAGAGTGACATCTGGTGAATCTAGCACTCAGTTCAAAATTCACAGCCTTCTTTTATCCCCCACCACGAAACAAGATGCTCATCAGTAAAATGTAGAATAACAAAGCACACTTTGGCCCTTTGCCAAACTGTCACTGTATCTGGATAGTACAACCTCCTCTCTAAAAAGGTAACAAAATAGTCTGAACTTTGTCCTGGCGTGGCCGTGTGGGCCACTGTGACAGCAAGCTAATTCATCACTGTGGGGACCTTAGGCTGTGCAACTGACCACCCAACTTACTGTCGTCTAAGCGGGTGGCAGTTAATCATTTCCTTAAATGATGTGGATATGAAAACTGAGCTGACTGTTGCTAGCAGACTAACCTTATCCATCCTCCCTGCCCCCAGAACTGACTGCTGCCATTTTTCCCTTCTTCCCAGACCGCTGGGTTTCAGGAGATTCTGACTGAGGTGGAAATTTTAGCGGTGATTGTGGGATGCCTGTGTCATGACCTCGACCACAGGGGAACCAACAATGCCTTCCAAGCTAAGTAAGTGCTCTAATTGTTGTGATTTTAATGTATTTGCCTTTCTGTTCAGAGCCAAAGGTGACGAGCGCTAAAGAGTAGAGCATTAATTTCTGGCATCCGAGGCCAAGGCCAGGCAGGCTTGGGCGTGCATGTCATGGGGCCCATCCATCTTTATAATTCCCTATTCTTCTTTTAATTGCAAATTTGCCCTTCATGTCATGCTTGTTGATGTGGTCTGTCTCTGTTGACCTCAGTCAGATAACAAAGCTCAGATTTTAAAGGGCCTACATTTTTCCTCCCAGAATATTTGCTTTCATGGCATTATAAGCTTCTTGGACCTGCTGTTTTCAAAATCAGGTTCTGAGATTGTTAAAATAAAAGCAGTTGTAGGAAGTTGTATGGAGCAAAATATCTCTCCCTTCTCCAATGGAATCTCTTCCAGGATCCTTTTGATGTTGGGTATTGTGTAAACCACAGTGAGATAAAAAAGCCACATACAAGGAGTATAGTCTTTCTTCCTCTCATCCCTACACCCATAGAAAAATGCGAAACAAAGAAATTACATAAATACAGGGATGTGTAGGCAACAATTTGCCATGCATATAATGTGCATGGATAGAATAATCTGTTTCTAAGCAAGTCGTACTGGTCAATATAGCCATTGCTTGGTGGCTTATGCTGTGGCCAAGGCCACAGAATTTATGGGTGCTGGAAATAAGAACAAAACCCAGGTCTCCTGACTATCGTATTGAAAGTATGGTTTTAATGTTCTTTTCACTATCTATCTACAAACAAAAATAATACAGGAGTTCAGAGGCTGAAGTGAAAAGTTTGGGGGTGGAGAGGTGAGGGAAGGCTCCAATGAAGAGGTAAGATTAACTTTCTGATGAAAGCCTCCAGAACAGGTTGACCTCTATTATCTGAAACTTCAACAGCCCTATCTGTGTCAACAGGATGCTTTCAACTCACCCATCTTTTTCTTCTCCAGACACCTACCCAGTGAGATCTTGGAGTCCTGGACCCTTGCATTTGCTCCTGATCTAGCAGATGAATTTTGATTTTGTGTCCTCTATTTATCCTGTATCCTATAGCCCATCCCTTCCACCCTCTCTTCTCAATATTCTATAATTTCTTGACTCTTTCAAGTTTCTGTGACATCCACTCTCCAAAAACTCAGCCCCGGTTCAATCTAACAATTCGGTTTCTCGCTACTCTACCTAGACTTATAAAGGCTTTGGGAGAAAATGTCACAGTTGTGAAAGTTTGAGACATACCAAATATATATTCTCCCAACTCAGCTGATGCTCAGTTCTCCCCACCCATCTTTCTGTGTCCCCAGCCAGCCGCGTCCCCCATTGCCCTTAGCAGTTACACACACCAAACGTCCTCTCTTCTGCTCCTCCACCTCCCCACACCACTCACCTCGCCTCCTACTTCACCAAGAAAATTGAGGCCATCAATCGAGAACTCTCTCAATTTCCTCCCCTGCCACCTACAGACTTATCTACCCGTCCCCATCCTTGCCTCCTTCCCTCCTATCTCAGTGAAGGGCTGCCCTGCCCTTGTCTGCGCCAACCCCGCCACCTCTGCTTCGGATCCCCTCTTGCTCTCTCCTCCGGGACCTTCGCCATCAATCTTCCTCTCTCTAGTGGCTCTCTGCATCCTATTCATCTGAACAATTCTCCCTCATCTTAAAAAAACCCGCCTTAATCTCCACTTCTCTCTCTGGCTTCTGTTCTATTTCTCGTCCTCCCTTCGCAGGCGAGCGTCTTGGAGCGTCGCCCAGGCTCCCCGCCTCCACTTCCCCAGCCCCCGCCTCCCACGTGGCTTCCAGTGCCACCTCTCCAGAGAAACCGCGCTCAGCAATGTCACTGACGGCCCCTTTCCCCACAGCTGATGGGCCCTTTCATTGCCCTTCTTTCTCGACCTTCTTGCCATGAGACACCTTGCCACCCCCTCCTTCCTGAAACTCTCTCCTGCTCTGTGTCACAGACAAAGGAATTTGGTCTATCTTTCTAGCCTTTCTTCTCAGTTTTCTTCAAGGCCTCTCTCCCCCTGCCCCAGCCTTCGCTGGTGGCGTTCTCTCCCATTCCTCTCCTGCTCTTCGTGAGCCTTCATGCAGGGCCTCTGCCCTTCTGCTGATGAGTCCCAAATCCCTTTCTTTGAAGGATAATTCTCAGCTGATCTCCAGGCAGTTATTCCAGCTGCTTGAGGGGCACCCCTCATTTGCAGTCCCACAGTCACCTCCATCTCCATTTTCCCCTTCAGGCATGTCCTTCCTCCTCTTATTCTGCATCCTGGTGAACATCACCACTAGAAACCTGCCAGCCACCCAGAACTCCCTCCTTAGCACCCCTCCCAGTCGAACCTCTGCAGTCTTGCAGCAACTACCGCTTCTGTGCATCTCTCCTGCATTGCTGCAATGAACAACCCAGCTCTCCTCCAGTCTGCTTGGCACTCCAGAATAATCTTTCTAATTCACAAAGCTGACCAGCTCACTCTCCTGCTTAAAAGCTATCCATGAGCTTCCTGCGGCTTTTAGGATAATGTTCAAATTCCTTAGTTTAGTTTCTTAAGGCCCTTTTCAATTGGGCTTCTGCCCATTTCTGTGGCCCAGCGCACACTCTCCCCACCCCATGCCACCCAAGCGTCTATGTTCCAGACACAAGGGACTACTTGAAGTGCTCCGTGGGTCCTCTAGTTCACATCTCTCTGCTGCCCAATATGCTGTTTCCCCTGCCTGGAATGCACTTCCTCCCCTTCCTTCCTCAAAGCTCCTCTGAAAGCATCCCTCCCAGGGTCCTATCCCTGATGCACCTGCCCTTGGCAATTTTGTATGACCACAGAATACACTGGCTGTGCCTTTTCAGAAGTTTGCATCTCATTCCATTTCCATTTTAACTGCTGACTTACAGATGCGTCTCCCCTCCTCTTCAGTACCTACATCTAAACAGTGTCAGGAGCATAACACACACACACAATAAATGTTTGCTGAATGAATGAGTGAATGGTGAATGCATAAATGGATGAGATTTTATTTCAACTATTTTAATATAGCTTTTCAATGAAGTTTCCTGATTTCTTAAACAGGTGTCACCTTTTATAGATTATTATAAAACATAGTTTTTATACATATAGGTTTGATACTCTACAAAAATGTTTACAAAACTAGAAACTGAGGTTCCCCAAGACCTAGAGCCCACTGAAGTACACACTGTGTATGTTTTCATTATAGGGTCTGATAGTTCCTTATTTTTGAGATCCTGTGTCTGCATTTCATTATTTTTTTTTTTATTCTTCTCTCCCCCAGGCCAAAGCTACCCTGTCAGATACCACTTTCTCTAATGCTCTCTCTTCAGCTCCCTACCATTTCACTGTTTATGCATAAAGAGATAACCGTGTTAGAATTGTGTCTGTAAAACAAGCAGAGTGAGCATCTTGTGGGTTTATTTAAGAGTGAAGTGCACAGTACTTGTACTCAGATACCAGTGGCACCCCCCCCCCAAGAGACGGCCTAAGTCTCACACTGAAAGAGGCAGCTCTCCTTGCCAGTTGACCCCAGCTCTTTGAACCAAGAGCAAACACCTAATCAAAGCTGGACAAATCAGAGTTCATCTCTGAGGAATCTGGAGTTGGACTGCCATGAGATTGAGTCAGTTAGCTGCAGGGATCCTAAGCTGCAGGTCCACACAGGCTTGGGAGCTGAGGCTACCATTTGGGGAAGGCTATGATGACCACATCTCAAATGGACAAAAGATACAAGAAAGCAAAAGATACAAAAGTCTACAGAGAAGAGAAAAGAACAAAGCTGATATTCAGAGAGAAGCAGAAAGGAGAGACTGTAGCTTGAGAGAAAGAGAAAAGCAGACCTGATCCTGGATCTGCCCATCTCTGCTCCTACTCCTGGGACACCCAGCCGTACCTGTGATCATGGGAGTCTCTCAGAGTTACTGGTCTCATTTAATCAACCGTTTTCCTGGTAAAGCTGGTCATACTTCCTTTCTATTCTTTACAATTAACAGTCCTTGAGAGAAGAACTACAATTCATTCATTGTTCACCATGTCTTAAGCGCTCACCAGCATCTCTGTAGGGTAGCTGTTTCTGTCTCCAATTTACAGGAGGAACTGAGCCTCAGAAAAATAAGTAACTTGACCAAATCCATCCATCCGGAATGTAGTAGAGTCGAGTCCGGACCTGGACTGTCTGATTCCAAAAGCCATTCCTGAACTACAGTATCATGCACTCTTCCATGACTTTGTGACATCCATTTTGGACCTTTGAACTTCCAGTTTATTGACTTATTTGGCAGATATGTGAGCTCTGATAGACTAAAATATATTTTGACATCCAACAACTCAAGACATGGGGCCATAAAAATTGTAGGACTGAACTAAAACTTAGTAGTCGTATTTTTCAATGCCTTAATTTTTAAAATGGAAACTGAGGTCCCCAAATCTCAAGTCCTTGATAATTCTGAACAGCTTTTGCACATGTTACATAGGTATTGAGTCACTGATACTAGATTTCAATTTTTTCTTTTTTCTTTTTATTTTTGGCATCCTCGTTTCATATGATCACATCTGTCTGTTTGATGGTATGACGTGTTTCCTCAAGATGATTAACTTTGTACGCAACTTACCAGCTCATGGGGTGTGCATCCACCCTGCACCCACTTATAGAGTAACTTTTGAACTCAGGACACTTAATGCCAACACCACCAACCTCAGTTAAGATTTCCTTGGACAATGAATGCTGAAAGAGACTTTTTTTACATAATGAGAAGGAACTCCTTTTTTGTTGATTAGAATAAGATATATTCAGTGAATGTGCCATTGTTTAGAAAATTTCTAGGAAGAAACCTGTATTCTTTTCTCCTTTTTAAATTTCCCATCAATTGGGTGCTTCCTATGTTCAGGACACTGTGCTAGGCATTGTGAGAGAAATATAGTATAGCAGACAGTTCCTTTTCTTAAAGTGTTCACATTCTAATTCCAGCCTTTCAAGTGATTTGGAAATAGGATTCAAATGCATTGATTATTATGTGGCAAAGCATATGCTACCTTTTTCTTTCATATATAAGGCTATAAAGAAACAGGAGACATTTAGCAAGGGACAAATTACTGTATAAAATGCAAAATGCCTCTACAATAAAAAGTGTGACTTTAGTAAGAGCACAATTTGATTTATTCTCTTAGCCTTTCTGATAAGTGAACCTTTGCATTTTCATATTTTATTCTTAATTTTTAAGTATTGGAGTGTGTGCACTGAATGATCAATAGGTAGAGAGGGCAGCGAAACCACAGTGCTTTGAAATTGCTCTGTTCACACCTCTCCCCTGTTTTCTCCAGGGACAGCGTCCCCCTCTCCATTACAGCTGCCCCCCGATGATTAAATATCAGTACCGAGCAGCTTTGTGGTACATTCTCCTAGGAGACTTCTTCTATTCATTCCTAGCATAATCTCTTATATTCATTTCTTGGGAATGAAAACCCATCTTGTCCCTTTCGGCCAGGTCCCAGAAGTGAAATACTGGGGCACATTAATCTGCTATGACAGCCTAATCCCATTCCTCACCACTGCCCAACAATTCTCAATTTCCTAATTATCTTTCACAGTTTTCCTTTTTAAAGTTTCCTTTAAGCCATGGCTGCACACTGCCATTAAGTCTCTTTTTCAAAGAATATGCCTATCCAGAGAGGCTAGGAAGGTACATTTCCACTTGCATTTGCACACTTATTTTTAGTGCCAGTGAAAAGTGCTGAATGGCTATGGGGACAGAATTTTTACTTTAACTTTTCTTTTTAATAAGTTTCTCCTTCGTGTGCTGCCTGTCCAAAAATGAAAAACTTCTTAGTACGTTAGGATGACCTAATCAATAATGTACATCATGAACACTCACATGTATAATTGTGCTTGTGCTGATGGAGTTTGGATTCTCTTCTTTTCCTCTCTTTCTCTCCCCCTCCATCCCCCACACCCTACATATATATAATTGTATTTTTTACAACCGCAGTGTGTGTGCCCCAAAGCTACTTATATACTTACCACAGACAATTAAAACGAGGTGTGGTGTTAAAGTCTGGTTTTTTTTTTATATGTGATTGATTTGGGTCCCCCCCCCATATTTTACATAAAAAAGTAGAAGTATAACCTTGCACAAAGTACATTACATAAAAGACATGGGTTATTGAAAAATAGTTGATGATCAATTAAGAATGAATAATGTTGCATATTCTGTTCTCCCACAGAATCACAATGTGTATTTTCACATACTGACACCTAACTTTAAAATTTCCCAAACTTACTTGGACACAAAACCCTTTTAATTGCTGCCCTTAATGCCACTCAACATTCCAAAGAAGTAGTATTCTGTAGAATATTTTTGTATAAAGCTCATTCTAACAGATACATTTTATATTTTTGCCATTTATATCAAGTTTTATGACTGTGAACTTTGCTCTTGGTACTCCCAGGAAGCTCACAGTCTGTCACAAAGGTATAGGCAGCCTTCCCAGTGAGCCTCAGCCTGAGAGAGAAAGCGCTGAGAGGTTTGGCGGTCTTGCAAAAATCTGACAGGGATGGGGCCGGCCTGGTGGCGCAGTGCACCACTTGGGAGCACGACGGAGCTCCCACTGAGGGTTCGGATCCCACATACAGACCAGCCACTCACTGGCTGAGCGAGGTGCGAGCGCAACACTGAGGGTTGCGATCCCGTTGCCGGTCCCGGTCCGGTACGGGCGCGACACTGAGGGTTGCAATCCGTTGCCGGTCACGAAAAAAGACAAAAAGGAAAAAAAAATCTGACAGGGACCAAATCTAATAGTGTAAATAAAGGATACATATGAAAATAGAAGTATTCCGGCACAGATGATTTTATTGTAGAACACTGAAAATAGACTTAGTACCATGCTCCATTCTCTGGATACCAAGACAGCACCTTGCTTGCCAAGGTGATCAATTTTAGTACAAGGCTAATCAGAGAATGCCCCTGACACAATTATAGGGGACCATGAGCTTCCTGAAGGTATTAGCCATGTCTTACCTATCCTCATATGCCACATACCTGGGGCCTGGTGTAATAATGGTCCTCAAAGCTTGTTGGATGAATGAGTGATAGATGAATGGATAAATGAATGAATCACAATGTCTTTCTGCACTTCAGTAGCATCAGTCTGTATCAGTCGCAAAATCTGCTTATTTTCTGTGATTGAATCAGTTTTATGTGAGAGTTGGCAGAATGTAAAATGGGATTACGGAAAGGGACAAAGAGGGAATCTGATGAGGAAGCATCCTAGAATTTCAACAGCCAAGACAAAGGCATATGAAGCATGTATCTTCATAGAAATAAACTCTAAGACAAATAGTAATTAACATTAAATATTAATTCGTCACTAAGATTAGCCTAACAAATTTTCACTTATTAAATGATACAGATTAAGAGAACAAAGGGGTGGGAGGGAGGAAAAGGGTTGCATTAATGGGCCCAAAACTATGCTATTTACCCTAAGTGAATCATTGTGCAGTATATGTATGTATTGAAATAACATACTGTACCCCACAAAAATAAATATAAATAAAACTGGAAAAAATAAATGATATAGATTAAAGCAAGATTTAAAGAGATAATACATACCTGATTAAAATCTAGTACCCTCCTTACTAACCCTCTTCATAATAATCTTTACTGAACCTAACCCTGCTGTTCCTCCTAACATGTAGTCAGCTCTGAGTCTTTCCAAGGATGACAGATCCCCGTACCCCCAAACTGACCGCATTCTTGGGCTGCCTCACACTGGAGATAGAGGGAAATCCTTCATCTACAACTGAAATCCTTCACATTGCACTTAGATGCAGTCTTTCCTCCTCTCACTAGCTGCACAGACTATGAACTGTCAATCTCCAGCATTTCCAAGTTAAAGCCAAACTGCCCTTTCAATGGCCAAACCCCCTCAATAAGCAAGGAAGAGCACAAGGACCTGGATGTGTACTCAGGTAGAGTCCCATGACCACCCTTTAAACCGCAGGATTCTCTGGATTTGCTCTCAACGCTTAAGATGCTCTAACTCCTACTCCAAAAAAGAATTGGAAATGAAGGTATTTGAACATTTTAAATGAACACTTCGCTGAACTGACATTGTTAAGGAATAATGGATTGTTCTACATAAACAAAATCTGTGGATAATTTAATCCCTTCAAGTATCAATTAATGTTTCATTGATTTAAAATGGAAATATCCATGTGTTTTAATTATTGATTAATAATTAATATAGACTACAATCTACTACATGCCAGGAACTGTGATAGGCACTTTCAAATATTTTATTGTAATCTCATAAATAATAGGTGAGTAGATAGCATTATCATAATTTTTGAGATGAAGAAACTGAGTCTTAAAGAGGCCAAGTAACTGCTCAAAGCTACTAAGTGGAGGAAGAGCTGAGATCTGACTCAAGATCCAGGGAACTTTCCAGAGTTCTACATGGAAATATCTTAGTGCAACTGTGAGCTGTGAAACCATATTAGAATCTTGTCAACCTTGCATGTAAAGTAGATAAAATGGGTTCTACAGAATGCACACAAGGTCTCTTCCTATGCAGAGTCAAATACATTTGGTAGAAGACTGTTGCTCTGGACACTCAGAAGAAACAGTTCAGTTCCTGAAGCCTACGCTGATCGCCAGAGCCAGAAATGATGTCTCTTTTTCCTCAGAACATCCACAGCACTTTGGTTGGATCTGGAACACTTTTCTACCATGTACTAGTATTTGCATCGTTGTTGTGTGCATTCTTTTTCCTTATGATCACATTTCATCTCTCTTACTACTCTGTACATTTCTTAAAGACAGGGACTATGTCTCATTCATCATGTATCACCCACAGCATTTAGCCTAAGACATGGAAAGTTCCCCAAAGGTTTACTTAATAGATAAGTGAACTACACCAGCAGTTACTTGAGAATATATCTGCTCACAGTCTTTTGCCAAAAGCAGGAAAAGCAGTTTGATCCATCGAGCTGGGGTGGGGGAGTGGTTGACAGGTGAAGCTCGCTCACTCTTCTATCCTCTTTCAGGAGTGGCTCTGCCCTGGCCCAACTCTATGGAACCTCTGCTACCTTAGAGCATCACCATTTTAACCACGCCGTGATGATCCTTCAGAGTGAGGTACAGACCTGATGTTCTATTTCTCCCCTTGACAGAAAACCAAAACCACTATGTATTTTCTACCTCTCTTTCTTTGTAGTGCCACAGGTAGACACAGAGAAGCAGGAAAACATTTTGAAGTCAAACTATTGGGCATTAGTGGCTTTTTTTATTCTTTTAGATGCCTAACCTAGGACCCTGGAGAGATTCTTCCTGAGCTGATTCACTTGAGTTTCATTATTGGTCAGGAGGCTTTTCAGATCCACTTAATAGGATAACAGGTATAGATGGCTTGTCACCAGATCATGATCTTCCCTTCCTTGAGGGAATATAGAAGCCCATTAAGGGAGTGCCTTGATCCAAGTAGTGAGTGGCCCAACATTCATAGGTTGTGAAACCCAAAGCCATTTTAAAAACTGGTAGAAGCAAAAACAGGGTGAGAAAGTTACACTTTATTAGCACATTTGAGAAACCTATAAAAGATAAAAGAACTTCAAATTGCTGGTGGGACCAGTTTGAAGTAAGAACTGCAGCTGAACTTAAGGCTAATGCCATATGCCTTATCTTGCTTCATGTGGCAATGCAGGAGTTAGAAGTAGTTGGAATTTTGTACTTTTAGCTCTCCACAGAGAAAAGCAGAAACCACTAACTGACTCTGACTGAGGCGCCTGAGTTTTAAATTGCCAGGAAAGGATCTGTTTAATTTTCTGCAGGCGTACAGACTTTTTTTCTTTGAGGCCAGGAAGGGATCATCTGTTCCTCATTATTTGTCAGTTCTCTAGCTGTGCCATTAATTATTATTATTATCATCATTAAGGCCCTGCTTCGCTGGAATAGCATCATTAAATATGGAGGTTTTTTTCTTCCAGCCTATCTTGAGAAAGCATGTCTTTTGCAATATCATGAAGGCCTTCGACCCCATAAAGAAGAGTTGCATGCTGGAACCTGAATGCGGACTGTGGAAGGGCAAACTTGCTGGGGGTGACTTGATTTTCAGTGTGGAGTAAGACAACAAGGGTTAGGCTCTCAGTAACTGACAGAAGCCAGCATCCTGGCATCTGTGGCTCTGGAATTCTCCTACAAAAGTCATGTTTTAGCTGCATGCTTTGGAGGAGGGAAGTAGAAATAGGGGAGACTTTGGTTCAGACTATCTTTTCTGTACTGGTAAATGTGATGAATTTATACTTCTGACTCTAGAAACCCCCCCTAGTAATAACAAGAATTACAAACAGGATGTCAAGTTTCCTTGGGGAAACAGACCCCACTCATTTAGAATTTGTGTTCATACAGGCAAAACCCATTGGCCACCCTTCCCTTCGATGTTCTCTATGAAGGACAGAGACTAATAATAACAGAACACCGCCTGTGATTGATCCATGCAGCAAGGCTCAGCAAAAAAACCTGGGCAGAATTACAGTGCAGCATTCCTCTAGTTATTTGTCTTCCTCTTAATGACTGAATTAAGGGTCTGGAAGAGTTCATTTGAAAATTATTATTAATATTGGACCTGGTCCCAGGTGGAACCAATATACTTAGTCTTTAAGAGTGGTAGGTTCACCCAGGGAAATAAATTAACTCAGGGGAGCCTGGTAAGAGATAATTTACTAATTGATATTCTGGTTCCCTGAAAGAACTGATTTCACTCTCATTGGAGAAGAGTTTATTCTCAGGCAGTCATTCTGCCCCTTTCCTTCTCAACCCTCTTCCAGCTCTCAACACGAGGTTTGAAACTGGTGCGGTTCCTGGGCCACATGCTTTTGAGTTCACACTCCACACTAAGAAAACCTGAAAAATGCAAAGTCCTGACTTTCAAACAAATTAAGTGAATTGTTGGTCACTTTACAGAAGGATGTTTCACTTTACTAAAAACAAATTGTGGTGCTGCCTAGTGTAGCTAAAACAAATTTTGACAAAACAAGAGTGCTTTTCAGAGGTATGGAGATAAAGGTCTGATTGCAACTTTTCTTAGGTAAAAGTCATCTGTAGAGTCCACTATGCCAAGAACAATGCCTTTTACATCCTAGCTATTCAGTAATTATTCACTGTACTGAATTTATTCTTCCCCACACTTCATCAAAGTGTATCTTAACAGTTTAATGTGGGTTCCTCAGCAGTACTGACATGTCCAGCCAGGTAAGTCTTGTTGCAGGGTCTCCTGTGCATTGTAGGATGTCTACGGCATCCCCGGCTTCTACTACTACATGCCATTAGCAGTCCCCCACACAGTTATGACCATCAAAAATGTCTCTAAATGTTCCCATAAGTCCCCATTCAAAAGTCCCCAGTCAAAATCACCCGCAGTTGAGAACCACTAGTCTCATGATTTTTTCTCCTCCTCCAAGTCATTTGTTGCTATGGCGAGTGTTTTCAAAATTCCAGCTTAAACATTTACTAGTAAAACTAGTATTTATTTTAGTGTCAGAAAGATTCCCAAATGTTTTACCAACTTCACTAAGTAATTCCACAGGAAACGGGCAGTCAGGTAGGGTTGTTGGCACAAATGTATCCATAGTAAGACAAGTTCAAACATTTTCAGTTTTCAAGACTAAACACATCATAAAGTGCCCCTCGGTAGACCTCCTCAAAAATGATTACACTCTCTCACTTTGCTGTGTTTGCCAGGGAATCGGTTTATATTTGTACAAAATTTTATTAAGTCTTTTTAAAGAGATTTTACCATGTTCCAAGACCCTTTTTTTTTAATATAAGAAAAACATGTAATCAGCAACCACAGATTTAATGTCGTCTTTTGTAACTTTTAACTTTCTCATTACAGGGTCACAACATTTTTGCTAATTTGTCCTCCAAGGAATATAGTGACCTTATGCAGCTTTTGAAGCAGTCAATATTGGCAACAGACCTCACGCTGTACTTTGAGTAGGTATTGGCCTTGGATCTATTTGACAAATGGATATCTAAAGTTCCATCCTGTAATTAATTTTCAGGTTCATATTGGGGGTTGCCTGTTACTTTACCAGTGACATCAACGTGTAAATGAGCTAAGCTTTTTTCTTGTTTTCCCCTCATCTAAATGAAGTTCATTAAGGTGGTATATATAAGCCACGAGATTCCAGGCTACAGTCACAAGATTTGTATCTTTCTTCTGTTTTATGAGTCTTCTTTGGGACTCTTGACTCTGAAACTAAGTGATAGCCATCTTTATTTTAGATACTGGCTTATTTTGCTATTTTAGACTATTATTTCTGGTCAGATCTATAATGGCATTGATTATAATGATGAAAAATACTTGCTGATGAAAGGTTGACTCTTAGAAGAGCTGTCCCCTTTTCCCAAAAGTTCAGGCCTCTCTCCGAGCTAGAAATTCCATCCCTCCCATTCCCAGGGGGGCCTGTTCCATCGGGGACTACATATTTTGGCAGCTTGGAAATCTCTTTCTCCACTGATATGCACAGTTCTCTCCTAAATTAGAGACCAAACAACTTCCCTCCCTTAAAAAAAGCATTTCACTTGACTCCATGGATATTTTAATTGCTTTTCAATTTACCTTTCTTTTATCACCCACCTTTTAAAAAATAAACAGAGCATATCTGTAGCTCTATTTTCCTAACACCCATTTACACTTTGAAGAGCTGAGTCCACCTTCACATTTTACCAAAATTGTACTCTCAGAGGTCACCAGAGACTTCCTTGTCCGACTACATATTTTGGCAGCTTGGAAATCTCTTTCTCCACTGATATGCACAGTTCTCTCCTAAATTAGAGACCAAACAACTTCTCTCCCTTAAAAAAAGCATTTCACTTGACTCCATGGATATTTTAATTGCTTTTCAATTTAATTGCTTTCTTTTATCACCCACCTTTTAAAAAATAAACAGAGCATATCTGTAGCTCTATTTTCCTAACACCCATTTACACTTTGAAGAGCAGAGTCCACCTTCACATTTTACCAAAATTGTACTCTCAGAGGTCACCAGAGACTTCCTTGTCCTCAAATTTAATGTCCTGTACTCTTTTCTGGTATTTTCTAGCTTCTTTGTGACATCCAGAGGTTTACTGACTTCTCATTGTCAACTTCTATGCTCTTTGCTTCTCCAACATCCAGCTGCCTTTCTCTCTCCTTTTCTAGAACCTTGGTAGGTTTCTTTTCTCCTTATCCCGCCTGTGAGTTCTTGAACCCATGTTCTTTCTCTACTCAGATTCACTCCCCTGGTCTCACTTCTGTATTACCTCTATGTAGGTTATTACCTGTACGGAAAAGACTCTGACACTCTTCACGGTAACCCTCCCTCACATTACAGACCTGTATTTCCAGCTTCCATCTCAAACACTTTCAGTGTCATTACTGCTTTCAAAGAAAGCTCTGAACTTGCTGTGACTTTCAAGGCCCTCCACGATCTGCTGCCAACCTTTTTTTATTTCATATCTTCCACTTCTCCCCTACATGATTTGTCTACTTCAACCAGTATGGTCTACATGTACCCTTTGAAACACCCTATGTAGTGTCTCTTGTTCCCCAATCATGTCATCAGTTCTACATGGAATTCTGTTTCTCCACTTCCCCATCTGGCTGAACTGACCATCCTTCAAGGTTTGTCTCTTCTCTCATCTGTAATAGGAAGTCTTGTGTCAGCTCCTTTGAAATCTTACTGCGCTTTGTCATTGCATCAGTTAAATACATTTCTATTGTAAGGGACAGAAAAGCCAAAGTAACAGTGGCTTACTTCTCTGTCACCCAGAATAAGTCTGGAGATGAGTGAGCAATCTGGAGTTGGTAGAGTAGCTGAATGAAGTTGTCAGGAACCCAGGCTCCTGCTATCTCTCTGTGATGCCACCTTCAACACGTGGTTTCCAGCTCTTAGTCCAAGGTAGTTTCTCAGGCCCTAGCTATAATGTCCACATTGCAGCCAGCAGGAAGAAGGAAGGGACAAAGAAGAAAGGGGCAATAGGGTGATACAAGCTGTCTTCTAAGAGAGTTTTCTGGAATCTGCCACATAACACTTCCACTTATATTTCACTGGTCAGTACTAAGTCATTTGGCCAAAGCTAGCTTCCAGGAAGGTTGGGAAAGGAAGCCTTTATTCTGGGTAGCCATGTGCCCAGCTAAAAACCAGAGGTTCTATTGCTATGGAAGAAAGGATGAAGGGGTTTGGGGGTAGTCTATGCCATGAACATTTATTGCTGGATTCTACTGAATAGGTTATTTTGAGATATAGTGGAAGGACTAAAGCTTTGTAGTTATATTGTCTGGGATTTAAATCTCACTCTATCATTTCAGTCAAACTTGGTGGATTAAGCCCAAGTGTCTTTGTCTTTTCCTTCCTAAAACTCCATTAAAATGATACTAAATAAATTTAAAAGAAAAAGAAGGCATAAATCTGCAAGGAGAAAGAAAGAGGACACACAACAACTGACCAGAAATGTTAATACATTTGTGGGAAATGGAAGGCAAACCAACAGATGGCAACTGACCTGCAGAGTACAAGTGGAAAGTAGAACTACACAGGAGGACAGCTCTGAGCAGCAAGCCGGTTTGCACTGCAGAACCCTGCTTGAGGCTCAGAGACAAAACGTACCACGAAAAGTGGATATGACGCTCAAAGCTTAAGACGAGGCGATTGCTAGAAAGTAGGTTTACAGAACACTCGGAGCCCACAAAGTCCTCTACCAACACAGCCAGGAAGCTCCCATTCCTCTACCCCTACAAGGCAAGAAGTTTATTCTCTGGCAGAGTGAAATGAAGAGCTCTGGACTGAGGCAAGGTACAGGACGAGAATGAGGTAAAGCACTCAGAAGAGGGGATTAAGTGAAATGAAACCAGTGTCTGGATTGAAAACCCATAGCCTGTAGCCCGGTCACCTAGAAGCTAAGGATCTATAAAGCACACATCCTGGGTTGTCAGATTTAGCAAACAGAAATACATGAGGCCCAGTTCTATTTAAATTTCAGATAAGCAACCACTAGTTTTTTAGTATATATGTATCCCATGGAATATTTGGAACATACATACACTAAAAATTGTTTTTTATTTGAAACTCAAATTTAACTGAACTTCCTGAATTTTATCTAGCAATCCTACTCCTCCCTCCCCCCCCACACATACAATTCCCACTTAGCTTTTTGATGCCTTACTATTACACACAAGCAGACAACCAAGAATCACAGAAAATTTTATAAGCCTCCAATATGAAAGAAAGAGGCAAAAAAGAAAAGAAAAGAAAAAAAAAGGAATTCAGAGCAAACAAGGAAAGGAAAAAAAAAACTGTTGTCAATATCCTCAGAGAGCTAAGATATTGTATCCATGAGATAAGAACAGGATGCTTTAAAAAATAGTAATAGGAGTAATCATGAAGAAGAAATTGCTCTTTAAATTTAAAAACATGATGGCCAGGGGCCGGCCCGGTGGCGCACTGGATAAGTGCGCCGCTTGGGAAGTGCGGCGGCGCTC